ATCGGGAAGTGATTTGCGATACCGTGTAAGTGAGGCCAAAGCACGGGGAAAGGTCATGTGGTGATTGCAGGGTCAGTAAACATGACTCTAGAGCCTTGGAAAATTAACGGACCGACCGTTGGAACGGGATGGGGCCCACGGGCCGAGAGAGCGGGCGTGGGTGGCTCATTAGCCGTGGGCGGTCGGGGCGTTACAAGTGATTACATGCAAACACTGCGTTTCGAACCCGCGCACTCGCGGTACCAACTTCTAGTCACCAACTTACACCACTGGGCCATTTCATCACTCATCAAAGTTGATTGAATATACGACACCTAAAAAGGGACACGAGAGGAGACCAATAAACAAAGCAAAACCCTATACATAAGGATAAGTTTCGTTTACGTTTTGCTCTGATTCGCAGAATTCACTTGTTACGTTTTGCTCCCTCTATTATTATCTTACAACATTTTCATTTTGAAGGATACATTTCATAACTAAAAATAATAATACAAGTATAAGAGAAATAAATAATTGTTTTCATTCATTAATTGTTAAATATTATTGAAAACCCCAAAATCAAATATAACAACTATTTGATGTTTGACTCTTCTTGAAAAAGCTTCTTTAAGCTTGTCTTCCTTTGTGTTGTTGTTCTACCGTACTAGTTATGTAACTATGTATTTCATGTTTTTAATTTTCTATAATGTTACTTAATAAGAATAAATAAAGTTAGTTGTTAAAAAAAACAAACTATTTGATGTTTAATTATAAGGTATAATTATCTAACTAAAATTATAAATTCAAAATATAATATTCAAGTCAACTAAATGATTACAAAGTTAATATGTATACAGAAATTCCAAACACACCAATTACTGCATAGACATATATATACCCAACATGTATTTAGACAATATACTATAAGACATAAATTTTACAGCATTCTCAAATAATAGTTTATTTGCTAACATACAGGTTTAATTATGTTTCTTTCTTTGTATACGATCGTTATTTAATTATGTTTCTTTCTTTATATACAATTTTTATATGAAATAGGTGTTTGATTAGTAACTTTTAGCTACGGCTTGTAATTAACCGTATGATAATACGTTTTTCACTGAAATCCTGTGTCGCACATGTTTGAGATGTTAAAAATGAAATTAGAAGAAGAAAAAAATAAATCAAAAACTAAAGAAGAGACATGTATTGATGGGCATGACTAGGTAATGAGATGATCGTTTGTAAATTTTTCATAAACCATAGACTTGCTTATTTAGACAAATTTTTTATGGGCCCTAATTAGCCCAAGTCCTGGCTGCGTCCAATATAAACATGCTTACAGAAAGATCGAAACATATAATTAAGAGTGAGTTAGATCAACATGAATTATGCAAGGCAGAATTGGTAAATACATTTGGTAAAGGAAAGATACGACGTCTGACGAGGTTCTGTCCACACAGATAGCTTATATATGCCGTCGTGTTTGTTTTGATAATATATAGTTTGCTTTGTTTGGATGATATATGGTTGTAAATATATTCGAATATGTCGGGTAAAATGTGAACATCGACACTTAATCATGCTACACATCAAGATCCACACATTAAGTTTCTGGCCCCTAATTATGAACTTTTAATATTGCATATTGATTTGATTTGTGTGAAGATCTGCTCGTGTAGATTTTATGCACACAAAGTCGCTGGAACAACGTGAGAATGTGATTGTTTAGTCGTCGGTGTGACCGCATTTGCATACACACTGACACACGATAAGAGAAACTATGATCATGCATACATGTGCATATCAGTATTTTACATATAAGCAATCGATCTTTCCAGTAATCAAACAACTATCGAACCATTTACAAGACAATTTTGATGCACTGGGAGATATAGAAGATTGACTCAAATCCAGCAGTCAATACCATAAAAATATATATATTAATACTTTAGAACAGATTGACTGCTGAATTTGAGTCACCCAAAAATATGCGACTCTCTACTACTTATACGTCTACGATCAATAAGAGTTTGACGTTACAAATTCCAAGTCTTTGATTATCCAACTTTTAGGAGTTACTTCTACAACCTTATTTTAAGTTTTTTCCAATCTCATACGTATTTAAATTATGCCGAAACGCATTCTAACAAGTTCGATCTTAAGTATACACTGAAATGAAATAGTTTGACTATATTTCGTTTATAGCTTTAGTGGAACCAAACTAACCAACTAACGCAGGTCTAAACCCAAGAAAAACAAATAGACAAAACCCCCGAAAAATCCTCCTCTACTAATAAGTAATAACATATGCTAGATAATTACTTGATTTTCGGTTTAATATAGTACTGGCTCATTATATACCAAAAAGAAAATGTGAACATGGTACCGTTGGTCGTAGATTGTGCGATATTGTTTGTTTGACCGTATCTGTAATTTTCAACTCCAAACTTTGAAGTTTGGCATGTTACTCAGTCCTCACATTCAGAAAATGTAAATCAGAAATTAAATGTTGAAGTTGACCTACTAACAAAAATATATCAAAAAAATCAATTTTAAATCATGATTGTGTAATTATTTAGGCGGTGTTAGTGGCAGTTATATTTATATAAAGTTTGTTGATTTTAAAAGTTGATGGATTTGTTAAATTTGGAAAGAGTTATAGAGAGTTTTGTATATTGTAAAAGTTTGTGAAAATAAATTGATATAATGATTCTAAGAATCTAAAGTATATAGGTAATATTCTCAAAATCTTGTGGTATGAGTTAAATGATGAAGAATACAACTCTCAATAATACCAACTTTAATAGATTTAAAAAATCATTAAAATTTAAATTTTTTTAATAACAATGGATTGTGCATAGAGTTACTAAATCATCAAACCAGTAACACTAAACTTTAATGAGAATCTAACAATCTATAAACCAATAACACTAGATTCTAAAATTCTGAGAATCATTATAAATTTTAGTCCCACTAACACCCTCTTAATCTACTGAATAAGTCAACGTATGAACACGTGAAGCGTGGGATTAATTAGCTTATGATTTCCTTAATTAGCCACGACTTAGGAATCATACTCTAAACTAATCACAATTAGAAGAATATCACGTGTCCTTTTACTATGCGTGGCAAGAATCTACTAACGGACAAAGCTAGAGGACCTACGTGTCAGCTACCCGTTGGAGACAGTTGAACCGTAACCGAAATTTAGTAAATTCCGAATTTAATCAACCGGTTTGGAATACACTTTACGTCTCCTCTTCACTTCTTCTATAAATAACCCAACACTAACCGACTCTTTTCCTCCACGCGTCGTATCAACACTCTCGATTTCAAATTATCTTCCACCACTCGAAAAATGGGAATCTGTGTGTCATCTAACCGGAGAGACTCCAATAATCCTTCACCGACGGTGAAGATCGTAACCGTTAACGGCGATCTCCGCGAATACAACGCTCCGGTGCTCGCATCTCAAGTCCTGGAAACCGAATCAGCCGCCGCTTCATCTTCTTCCTACTTCATCTGCGATTCGGACTCTCTCAACTACGACGACTTCATACCGGCGATCAAACCGGAACAACCGCTCCACGCCGACCAGATCTACTTCGTTCTCCCCGTCTCCAAGCGCCGGAACCGTCTAACGGCCTCGGATATGGCGGCGCTCGCCGTGAAAGCGAGCGTCGCGATACGGAACTCGGCGGGGAAAGAATCTCGGCGGCGTAAGAAGGGGAGAATCTCGCCGGTGATGATGCTTACTCAGCCTAACGGTTCAGTCGCCGGTGTTAACGGAAGAGTGGGTGAGATGACGGTTAGGAAGGGAAGGGGAAGGCCGTTGCTGAATAAAACGGATCCGGTTAAGGCTTTGAGCGGTTATAACCGGTCCGGTTCGGTGCGTGATTTGAGAAGATATACTTCTAAGCGAGCAAAGTGGGCGGTTCGATCGTTTAGGCTGAGACTTTCGACCATCTACGAAGGCGCCGTCGTTTAAATTTATTTTTGTTTGTTTGATTGTATAGAAATCATATATGTTTCCTTTTTTTTTGAACTGCAATCATATATGTTTCCAAACTAAGTATTTATTATATATAAATGATTGGTGATGTTTCTATAATTAGACAATCATAATCTATAACCATACGTAAGGTTAGTACGGTACTAAGTTATAAACCTTTTAAAGTTGTTTTGTATGAAATGTTTTTTTTTCTTATAAAAAGGTGTTGTTTATGTCTTCTATAATCGAGTTTATGTATATCAAGTGGGTAGTATAATTGCTTTGCCATAGAGTAAGATCAACAATTAGTTTAAATTTATAGTTGGAAATGTAATAAACAAATTAAGATGGTGGATTGACAATCAAGGAAAATTTACTAAAATATTCTCAAGGTTATATTAGTAAGTTATTCTATATAAAAATTCAAACTTTGAAATACTGTGCTATTCAATTTTAGGATTCAAAGAATCTCTTCATATTTTATATTATCTGGTATTAAACTATTTTCAAAGATAAAGTTATGTTACCTACTTCATATCGGCGAAAAGCTTGCAATGCAAATCAAAGTCCTTCACTAATATTATGACTAACATTGTAAAGCAAAAGTATATGATATGTTAGGTATCGCTTATTAATTTTCTTATAATACGCATAGAATACATAATTAATTATCAATCGAATTATCGAAACAATGTCAAATTAGTTATTGAGGAGGTCCTCCTAGCTAGTTTGCTTACTTGAGTGTTCTTAGAAAGCTTTTAATTTAAGTTAGGAGTGGAAACACATGGATTACCATTTAGTTTTAACTTTTCTGTAACCTATTATCTGTTCTTAGTTCTTATCTTAATGTGTTTCAACTTATATAAAATGGAGTTATAAACATGGGTGGTGGCTTTAAAAATACCTAGTCCACACTACTAGCCTGATATGTGTCTTGCTTTTTTTTCTGAAAAACTCTAACCTATGTGTTTGTATAATTAGACATGCTATTGGCAAATCCAATCCAAAAAATATTAAACGGTTCTGTCTGATACAAATTTCACCTTTTCGGATGAATGCTTTTTACTAATAGATATAGCTCATAAGATTTTATGAAATATACAGAGACTAAGAACTCTAGACATAGTATAATTATTCATCCTAAAAATTTGCAGTTTATAACGCTATAAATGGTGCCATTCATCAATTTGCAAGGCTGTTTATTGAACTTTGAATGATACAATTCTTCAAAATTGTAGGCTTAATAAAAAGAAAATCAAAGCGTACGTTATAAATATTCATAAAAAATTAGTTGACATTTTCAGGAATTGATATAGAGATATGTGGTGCCAATAAGGTCGATTTTCCTTTAAAAGGGAGGTTAGATTAACTTTTGGATCGTACGTGCTAGTTTGCTATTCTTATTCTTAATTACTCCAGTGTCTGACGAAACAATAATGTTTTAAATTTGCGTCTAAGGTTATAACTCTAAGTTCTTATTTAGAATTCAGTGTTAGTTTTTAGACGTTTTCGTGTAATTTTTTAGAAGTTTCAAGATCAAGTCGAGCTGTGCTTTCGTGTCGAATGCATACACTAAAAAAATATATGATGAGTCAGTACAATATAAGCTAAATCAACTGTCAAATAAACAGAGACGTGATATGAATAGTATAAAGATTTCATCATATAGGACCACAATTTTGGCAAAAAGAGGCAGTAACCTTTTTTTTTTTTGGTTTTATTTGGGGTTTCAACATCGCGGCGGGTGCTGAATTAGAGATTGGTGTGAACGTTAAGAATTCAATATTCTTTTCTTTCGCTCTAAAAACAGCAAGTCCTCCGACATGACCGCCAGTTCTCCGACAATGACAGGTTTGTACATACGCGATGAATTGTAAAATATGAAAACTATACAATCGCTTATAGCATATATTAATAATCGCTGCTACATACATGGACCGGCCAACTCTTCGTATATGGTAAGAGTAACTGAAAACTATTTTAATGCATTCTTCAGAGATACACATTCAGAGGACAATCTGAAAATAAAGATACCTAATCGAACAGCTGGTACGAAACAATGCTAAAAGAGAGAAACCCACAAAAGAATCATTAAACAGTGACACTAAAGGAATGTGAAACAGAAGTGACCAGCATTAAGGGAACTATGTTAACTGAGGATGGGATGGCCGGTCGATATCTTACAGTTTATTCTAGAGAGTTTGGTGTATGTTTCGAACAATTGAACAACATGCTCTGAAAGTGCGGAGTGTAACTAAACATCTGTCACTATAACTCGTAGATTATTGCATGGAGAAGAACTTTGGAGACCCGTAAGCAAATTTCTTCCAGAGAAAATGATTTAGTCCAACTCAAACGTCTTCCCAAAAGATAAATAATTCTATGTTGCAACGTATGATTAGACCGTTGGAATGCACCAAAAAGTTGGTGCAGTGTTAGACGAAAGACCAAATCGCCTTATTTGACGTCGTGTATGATTTTTGTTATCTTATTCAACTCATAGTTAGATATGAAGTCAACTCTATTTTTGTCATTTTTTCATTTAGTTCATTTACATTTTGTTTTGATGAGAAACCTACTCGAGACTTGAATGATTAAATAAATACTTATATTTCAAGTATAATTGTCTATACCCTCCAAATTTTTTTTAGAATAGTTCCTTAATATACAATACAATATTATATTGTATTCTTACTTTTCAATTATACTCTAATTATATTTCTATATAATATATATGCTCTATATACGTATAAAATTATTTGAATATGACGCAGTTGGATAAGCTTCAAAATAATATCCAAGGACATAATTTCAAACCTCTATTTAATGAGTAGAGATCACATGCGACTTTAAAACCAACTAGATTTTGACCCGCGCAACCGCGCGGGTGTTTGTTTTCTTTTATAGTTAGTTATATAAAAATTTTGTTTTCACTTGTAAATTGGTATATATTATAGTAATCACATATTTACGATATCTATAGTAAATGTTTTTCAAACATAATAATATTATATAATAAGTGTTTTAATCAAAAAGATTGTTTCAAATTTTCTATANAACTAGATTTTGACCCGCGCAACCGCGCGGGTGTTTGTTTTCTTTTATAGTTAGTTATATAAAAATTTTGTTTTCACTTGTAAATTGGTATATATTATAGTAATCACATATTTACGATATCTATAGTAAATGTTTTTCAAACATAATAATATTATATAATAAGTGTTTTAATCAAAAAGATTGTTTCAAATTTTCTATATTAATTATACATGTTTTTCAAACATGTGTTTATTTCTTCTTCTATATTTTATTATTTGTTAGATTAGTATTTCATTTTTAGATAAAGTAATATAAATAGAGCTTGATTAAATATTAGTATACTTTAATTTGCAAAGATAATATAAAATTTGAAGATTTTTTTGCTAAAAACTAAAATTATAGCTTCATAAATTAATATTATAAAGAATTTTACTAAAAAATAATTTTTAAACAATTTCTTTTTATTTAAACAATATAATTTTAAAAATTTACATCGAAATAAATTTATCTAATATATATAGCGTGTAAATTTTGTTAGGGTATATAAATATTTCATATTATTAATCTGTGATTTTTGTTAATATATTGTGGATGCATTTAACTATTATTGACATATTTCCTTATAAATAATAGAAGATTCTTAAATTTATATCTATTGACATATTTTGCGTGACTAAGGGTCCGACTGGTTTCCCCGCTACCACCCGCAAACGCAGCTTTTGCGGTTGATGGCGGTTGCTAGCGTTTTGCAACAATCACAAGAACCGCTACAAATCGCTTCAAACCGCTCCCAACCTCTTAAAATCAAAAGCTGGTTTCAGCTAGCGTTTGCGTTTGCGGGCGATTGCGGGTGGCTAAAAAAACTAATTTTCTTTTAAATTTAAATTAAAATATAAAAATAAAAATAATATAACTAAAATTATATCTACCTTTTATTTTTTTAATTTAAATTCACTAAAAATATCATAATCTATTATAAAAACTTTAAATCAAGAATTTTCACTATATTTTTCAATATTAAATATATAAATATATAAATATATAAATATATAAATATATAAATATATAAATATATAAATATATAAATATATAAATATATAAATATATAAATATATAAATATATAAATATATAAAT